TTCATTGATGCAATATCTTCTTTTTTTCTCTCTGCTTTCTCCATCCTTTTATATTCCTCCAATTGTTTTTTTATTTAACAAAATTTGTCTATCAATTTCTTGAATAGACTTTTGGAGTTCTTCATTTGAGGCAGTTACATAATTTGAAATATTTTCTTTCAAAACTAAAGCATCCAATTCCTCTTTACTTATACCTCGGTGCAGATGTTTCATACTCGAGTTGTATGATTGGAGACTCTGTCTCGCAATTGCTATTTGACTTTGAACTTCTTTCAGCGATTTCTCAATATCTTCAGAGTTCATAGTGTTGTTAAAGTCTTTACTATCCATAATATTGCTGGTATCTTGTTGTAATGAATTCACTACTTGAAATGTGATATATATTGAGAATAAATGCATTCGTGAACGAAGACGAAAATATAAATATTGAAATATTTTTTTTTTGAGTCCTATTAAATTTTTGTAGACAGTATCTCGCATAGTGCGGATTCGAACAATCTTGATTTACAATCTGGTCATGATATTCAATACATGATATATGAATATTCAATTTTAACCATAAAGGTGGTAAAAAAAACTTTAAATATTTATTAACCATTCGGCTATTAGTCGTCCAACCCACGATTTTGTGTACGCCGTTTAGTATCCTGTTCAACCCAGGCCTTTTGTGAGCCCTCACGGTGCTTGCAGCAATTGGGCCATCGTTCATCACAGATTGACAGTCATATTATTAAGGTTCAGCATATGGACCTTCAGCCAAGTCGATGGACAATGACAGTGTTAAGGATAGCTGCAGATTCACAGTAAAAGGAAATAGTGGAATCGCAGAGCATCAATATATTACTAAAGTTAACCTACAAGACGACAATTAACTTACAAATAAAATATCATAGTTACCATATCCATCAGGAAAGATTACCTACCTAATGTCAACCGTGATCTTAAATTTACTCAATGTTCACATTGATGAACAGATTGTAAATAAAATTACACGACATAAATAAAAAGATATAATATTAATTTAGTTAGATTACATTCAAGTGAAAATAAAGCTAGTAATAATAGTATTTAGTACATTTAAGAAGATGAAATCAGTAAAATCTTACAAAAAAGATATTTAGTAGGAATTACAGATCGTTGTATTAATTTCAGTAATTAATGATGACAAATGTATGTTACGCAAAGTATATTGACATATTTTTTTTAGATGAAATAATTATACGGGAAAATTATAAATTGAGGAATTACATAATAACTTAGTTATTTTTGTCAGAAACTTTATTTAACTAATTTATCTCCATTTTATAAAAAGAAATTCAGAATAATCATTGAAATAACTTATTTAGTTTCATTTTTTATAACAAGAAAACTTCTGAATTTCATTGATGCAGTCATAAAGATTATCTAAAAATAATATGTGTTTGTACAAAAAAGCACTATTATTTATTTGTTTAATAGAAATTATCATATATTATAACAAAGTAACAATCAAAATAATTTATATTGTCGATTTTTAGTAAACTAAAAATAAAAACAACAGCAATAAAATTGTTTTCCGTAAATAAGTATTATATATTTTAATAATTATTTATTAAAAAAAAACTAAACGTTTTCATGTGAAATTTGCCTGTATTTTTCATTAAATAATAAATGAATCATGCATTTATTATATGAGAGTTGAATAAATTACATAAATATTTTTAAATATATTCAGAGGATTCAGGTAAACAACTTAAAAAGGAAATATCTTTAAACATAAAATATTAAAAAATTAAATATTTATTTAAAAAGTAAACGTAATAATTTTGGAAGGAGATAGAATATGCCTTTAAATGACAGAGAATTATTTACAATTGTAAAAAAACAAGAAAAGTAATTCAGATTAATTGCATTTAAAGATCGCATAAATAAATGGAAAGAAAAGAGGAGGATTAGCTCAAATATTTTGGAGCACAAACATTAATATATTTAAATGTAAATATGTCTAATAAATATCTAAAAATTTTATAGTTACATTTTTTTTCAATAATACAATTATTCCATAATAAATTAATTCATATTTTCAGTTCCCATTGTGATATATGAGGGGTCTATCAAATGTACCCTAAGTAAGAGTTAATTCATTTGTTTATGAAAAAAAAAACAAAAGTTGTTTATCCATTTGTTAAAGTCTAAGGAAATTTCATATCAAATTTCAAGAAGATCAGGAAGAGCTCTCTGGCATCAATGAAATTCGCCCATTACCTTTTTCTTCAGACTATTCAGTTCAATTGAAGAGATCGTTAATGCAGTTAATGTCGAACTTGAAAAGCCCCAAAAAGCCGATTTTGAGGAATTTTTTGAAAGGAGGCTCTACCGACTTAAGATATCTATTGAAATAAATAGAAATTTAAAAATGATGAAATTTTATTTTTTCAGCCAACTTAGCAAAGTTTTGTTAGACCTCTCATAACAAAAACAAAATTAGACATTAGAGATTCGACAAAGCCGACGCAGCGCTTAATCTACGAACTCAATTTGCACCAAATTACTGTACAATTAATTGGGCATAAAATATGACATTAAAATAATTAATTAAATATAGCAGCAATGCGTGAAATCCGCTGGAATTGCCTCCAATATTTTTTTTGTATGTATCCTAATTATGTTTGTTTATCATTTTCATTATTCAGTGTCATTCATTCCGCAGCGATACGATTCATTCACACTTTAACATTTTCAATTAGCATTTAACTACGTTAGAAATTACAGCAATTAATTCATATGTTGATAAGGACATTGGCCCGTGTGTTTACATTACGTAATTGTTTTGTTAAATCGCACTTCCATTTGGATCAATAGTAATAATTAATAGTCCTTTATCCACAGTTCACCGTATATTTGCACTATTCAAAACTACAATCCGAAACTGTACGTATTTGCAGTTGTAATAGTGCTAAAAGTGAATTATGTAAATTATATTTATGAATTAACATGATTTGTTAATTAATATAAACTCTAGTTTTACCAATTTTTAGTTTCATCCGCAATTGTATCAGTTTACAAGGAAACTTATAATTAGTAATAAATATTAAAATTAATTAATTTTAAAATAATCTTTTAAAGTTCATGAGTTTTGTAATTAGAGGATGAATTATAAATATTATCAATTGTATTGTCCTGTTTACTTGTTTTTTTTTTAAATATTGTTATAAATATACAAATGAAAATTATAAGCTTTTTTAATTATTTAAAAAGTTAAGACTGACCAAAAGTCAAATAATTACCAAAACTTTATATTTTTATATAATATCATTTTAAACAAAATTTATTGTATAATAACATACATATATTTATTAAAAACATAAACTATTTATTTTAAATAAATACAAAGTAGACAGTAGTATACATACAAATATTTACAATAATTATGCTTTTGGTTATTGTGCTATATAATTAGGGGTTTCCATTCGTTTGCTATGTTGTTTGGTTCTGGCAGATAGATTAAGCCAAATCCAGGCTTATTATAATTAATATCACTAATATGTATATTGCATTCCCTATATTATAATTTAAAACCAATATTTATAAACAAATATCAACAATATTTATATATCCATAAATAATAATTTATAATATTTTTTTCTTTAATATAAACTGTTAATACGTATAAATGAATTGCATAATGCGGGTAATAAATTCTGTTTGAAACCGCACTAACGGAGCAATTTAAAACCGCATAAAAGTGAACAACACAAAAAGAGACTGAACTGAATGGATGGAAATGATTGTGTAATAATTTATAATTTATTATTATTGTATTTAATAAAAATTTTGTTTGTTTTTATATTTTAAAACCGTACTATAGCATTAATCAAATCCGTACTACGCGAGTTATTGTTGGTTATTATTTAAACTATTACATGTTCATATTTTATATATATTTTTCAGTTTTTTCTGATAGATAAACGTTGATTTTCGTGAAAATGTTTATGAGATGCTTTACCTCTAAAACGTATTTCCTTTGAAGTTTTGAGAAAGTCATGTAATATTTACATAATTCACATAATAAAATAAATTGTTATATACTTTAAAATGTATATAACTGTCATGTAGGTAAATTGTTAAAATGAAATATTAACTTTCTTTTCTTGGAACATTTTTTTCATCGTAATATTTATCGACGTACATTTTTTAAACTTACTTTTCTCCAGACTTCTTTTTGTTCATTAATAATTTACAATAATGATAGTGTAGTTCATTTACCTGAAAAAAAATAATATTAGTAACAATAAAATGTTTACATAAAGTTATAAATGAATGAACTAATAAAAAAAAACATTATAAATTAACTGCTATGTAGATCGAATTACCATAGATCTTTCCGCCCATAATATATATATTTTCATTACATGTGTCCATAGTAAAGGTAAATGATATACTATTGGTAATTATAACCAAAATTAAATACTGCTTCAATATCTGGCAAAGTTTCGAACAATACGAATTTACTATTTTCCGATTTATTTTTGTATGTATTTGTTTCTTTGATCAGTCCGTTTTCACTATGTGAATTATTACTGTACAGTGGAACCTCGCTTAAAAAGCAAAATAGATTTAAGAAAAATGACTCGCTTAACGAGCGACGTTTCTCATAACGAGTGACAATGAGAAGAGAAGTCCCAGATTGCGCGCCTGCTACATCATTTTTAAAACTTGTGTACACATATTATGTGTATTTTTGAATATGTTTCACTATACGACTTAATTAATTGTTTAATATCAATTTTGATATGTTTTTATAGATATATTATAATAAATCAATATTAATAATTACATACTTTTTTTTTAAATTATTATTTACAAAGCAATCTATCTACAATAAAAAAAGAAAATCAGATAAAATGCTCTGAGCGTTTTTGACTGGAACCGCTATATGATGTCAATACTGCTGTATTACAAGCAGATCCCAATAGTTGCAATCCATAAATCCATATCGGTTTTATTATCGTAAATATATATTAAAACTTTGTTTTAGATGGATGAAATGAGATGGATGAGTATCTACCCATCAGCCAATGCAAATTTTTTACTGTCAGTCCCAGCTGTTTTCTTTTTGTCGTAATATGCTTTTTCCAGGTGAGTCGACGATCCAGGTGCATGCCAAGATACTTAGCCTCATCAGCCGGTGGTAGGGCACTGCCATTCAGTGTAACGAGTGGACAAGTTTGTCGACGCATTGTGTACGTTACATTCACCGACTTTGTTTCATTAGCGCTAATTCTCCACTTTCTGAACCAATGTTCTATGCTTTGGATTATCTGTGAGGCCGTAGTTCGGTTTTGGTGGGATGCTAGAACAGCCGTGAAGATCAAATAAAGTAAATGTCCAGAAACACTTCCCTGCGGGACACCAGAGAGGATTGGGCGAAGCGAGGTCACTTCGTCCTTGTGCTTGACCTGGAAGTACCTCCCAGTCAAGTACGGTTTGAATATGACGTAATATTCATGTGGGAAACACTTTTTAATTTTATATAGCAATCCTCCATGCCATACTCGGTCGAACGCCTGTGAGATATCGAGGAAAGCGGCAGTGCCATGTCGTTCACGAAATCCGAACTGGTGTTCTTGAATGAGATGACTATCCAACAGCCAGGGCTTCAGTCTTCGCAGCAACAACTTCTCGAACAGTTTAGACAGTACCGGCAGGAAGATGATGGGTCTATATTAAGACGTTGGTTTTCCACGTTTGGCGATGAGTATGATTTGGGCTACCTTCCACAGTGATGGAAATATACCGAGTCTCAGGATTGCGTTGAAGATAAGCGATATTACCCTAATGCCGATACTGGGGAGCTGCCTCAAGACCTCTGCTGTAATCATATCCTGGCGCTTTTTTAGCTTTAACTCTAGTATAGCTAGCTTAACCTGCCTCACATTAAATTGAGCAATGGGAAGTGACATTTGGTATGGAGACCCCAGAAATTCCATTATCCCGTTTCCTTCTTCCCCTGCAAGTCCTGCACGGAAAGGTTGGAACACGTTTGTCATATGGTTAGCAAACATCTCCGCCTTCTATTTATCACTCCTCACCCAGTTACGATCCGGTTGTCGAAGAAGCGACTCTCTCTGTCTCTGTTGTTTCGTGTGCTTGTTCGCCACAGTGAGTGTTCGTTAGTTCCAGTAGGAGACAGACCAAGATATTCGTGCAGCGTCTCGTTGCTCTGGCTCTCTAATAAGTTCCTGAGTTGTTTATTGACTCTATTCAGACGAGTGGGTGTTTTGCCAAATCTTCCTCAGCCTTCGTTTCTCTTTTACGAGGTTACGTACGTTTGCTGGACCTTTGTAGCTGGTTCGGATGGATGATGGTGAAGGTGTAGAACTCCATGCAGCTGCTTGCATGGATCGGGTGAGATCTTCGACCGCATTTTCCAAGTCTTCCTCCGACTTCAGCCTAATATCCGTCCTTAACACCGTCTCAAGGTATACTCTGAACTGGTCCCAGTTGGTTCTATTCGTACTCAGGTTTGGTGGTCTATCCCGTTTCAGAATCTCCGAAGACAGTGTCACAAGTATTGGCGAATGGTCGGATGATAGGTCCAAACTCGTGTCTATGGAAAGATAGTTGTTGGAGATACCCTTCACAATGCCGATATCCAGTACGTCGGGTTGTTTGGCCCTGTCAGTTGGCCAGTAGGTTGGTTTACCGGCGGATAGATGTGTGAGGTTTCGCTATTGCATAGCTTTCAGTAGCTCTCGACCTTTTGTTGTTGTAAGTCTGGAGCCCCACATGGTATGCTTCGCATAGTATCCAGCAGAGATGAAGCGACTACCGAGAATGTCGAAGAACTCGACAAATTGCTCAAGTTTGTTGTTGTGTTTCGGTGGTTAGAATGGTTAGAATTTATTATGTTAGCTTACATACATATTACATGGTGTGATACAAAAAAAAAAATTCAGACTGTTATGGGCTTCAGCCTCTTTCAGCCTCTTAATTACATAAAGTTTTACAAAACAAAAAAAACAAAAA